AGACCTCCGTCCAATTAGGTGTAGCAGTGTAACTCAACTTGTATTCGTCTGATTTGCTAAGACCCATTTCGAGTCCATGAAGGCATTCTAATCAGATCCAGCACCACAAGATTTAACACCTAAATACAACCCCTTACCATCATCTGCCTTATTGGTTGGGTTTTGGTCACTGGGTTCATTACTATAAATAACTGACCTGTATGATTCAAATTTAGCTCAGATCCACTTCTTTACTGCCTTCAGAGCACTATATTTTATGACAAAGGAGAAAAATAGTCTATATTACGTTCTTGATGGTAAGACAAGACAAGGTCTAATGGACAGCTATTTCGAACTCAAATGGAAAGGCTAAATCAAGGCAGAACTTACTTCAAATCCCACCCAAACTTGAATATTGGTTTCAAAATAAGTGCGTAATTTGTATTCATATCTTCATTCAAGAACCGATTCCATTATAAATGTTGGTCAAAAAAATCAAACGAATTTCGGAAATCAAGTAATCATGCCAGTCCATGTAATAAATAAGTACATTGTACACAATCACACACACACATGGTTAATACTAACTAGATTTCTTAATTCACTTCGTTTGTCTATCTTATTGAAAGTTATACGTACGCGACCGATGACAGTATACGAAAGGAATTCCTCTCTCAGGGTTTGTCTTCTGACTGTTCAATTTAGTATCGTATACGTTGGGAGTGGGGATACATGCTTGATTGATATACCCATCACTTGAGTGACTAATGACATCCAAGTCCAACAGCCACCACACTCCTTGGATTAGGCCTGACATTTTCTAGCTGACTCTATGGAATAACTAATTCCTTAAATCTTGGGATTCTTTTAACTGCTACTTTTTTCGGAAAACATTGAACGTTAATAAAATCACCCTGGAGATACACAATACATTCCACCCTTATCGCTATCATCGTAAGCTGAGGTGTCGATGTGACACTCAAATACAGTGACTCAGTTATCTTTATCCTTCGTCTCCGGTTGTCTCTTCACTACTTTATTCATATTGCGTCTACATTGATCGAGCAATTATATCGCTTGCCTGTGAACCATACAATGTTACCCATTGTTGGACTGGGGTAGCATATACACGATACTAAATACATGGTTTTCCAATGGACGATGTAGTTAAATCGAAGTGGCTTGCTCCATTCTGTCTACGATTTCGGGAACTTCGATTGTTCATCCTACTGAACTAAAGTATTTGTTTTCACATCATTCTCAGATTTTCACTCTCCTGTTCTCAGTTCGATCTAGGACGTGACAATTTGACTTAGTGCACAAAAGAGCGGGATGATCGGTTTTCCAAATCAGAAAGTAAATGGTTATCCTGCTCATTTTCCCTGTACAGACGAACGCCACTTATTCAACTGTTGTGTCACTTCAGTCGGTTTGTTCCGTTTAACTTGCTAAACTATCCCCACCGGCCAGACACGTTGAAGTGTCAAAATGGATGAAATTACCTTTTTCCATTTAGATCACTATCTGACCTGCTCCTACTGCTCTGTTCGTGATTTAATCCCCGGTCGGCAAACCTTACCCCGATTTATAATTCAAAACGTTTTCACCTCCAGTCCACCCATAATCACTATCGTTTAATCATTTGCATGCAAAATCGATAAATAACCCACGATTTTTTTAATGAATCAGCAGTTTCCATCACCTGGTGACGTTGACCATAATTTCAGCAATTCGTCAGTGTTTTCATTGTGCACGCAGTCGTCCTCGTTTTTATGTGTATTTTGTCGAAGGTATGCTTTGTATTTGATCATTCACGTATTCCTTTTGACATGAAAAACAAAAACACGCACAATCCCCATTTTTCGGTCGGAATTCAGGTACGCATAAAACCAAATCCAGATCACTGTGAGTCGGTCATTTCTATTGAACTAACCTAGCTCATTTCTCCTTGTTTGTCTCTGTTCTTTGGTCTCATTGCTCTTATCCATCTCTCATTCTTGTCCCCCGCCTGTTCTGAGCCCACACTCACTTCAAACTCTGTCGAGTGTCGATAGTTTGCGGAATTTCACCATTTTCATGCTCTATCGCCTCCGACCCCTATAAGAAACACGCTCTAATTGCCGTTATTGCCTCGCACATCCGGCTAATGTGTGGTGGTTGCACATTNGCGTTGTTTCAACTTACTTGGTGAATGTGTTTGGTATTATCATAATTTTTTATAAGTACCACAATTATTGCAGGTGTTTTTTATCCCGTTTACGCAAAATTGCTTTTTTTTCATGAGAGTTTCAAACTTCACTAGTTGATTCGTAATTGGACGGTGTATCTTCTGTGTTCACGCATCAGTTGGTGTCTCTAGTTTGTCCCTCTGTTTACCAATCCTGTGGTGCGTACATGTTTGCACCTGCCCACTGTAGAAAAATCAATAAAATTGCTTGGCTGAGTGACCAAGTTCTTTGCTAACCGAGCAAAAATTCAACCACGATTGCATTTTGGATAGAAGCACTATTTCAAACTGGTGTGTTTTTTGCTTGGCTGCAAGGTGAGGCGAGTGGTGCACTCTAAATTCATGTTTTATTTTTCTGTTAGGATAGAAGATTGTCGCACAATTGTCTGAATATAACCTTCCTGTGCCGAACATTTCCTCGTCTGCCATCTGATACCTATGCATATCGAATCTGCATTTCGGCGATATGACATCACATCGATGCGCCGTTTTTCTCCATTCAGCAAACCCCTCTCCATAAAGACGCAACTCACAATCCATCACGTCCGTATTTGAGCGGTCAACCGCTTGATACATGTGCACTACTGATTGTTTCTGACCGGAGTGAAATGCTCGTGCTTTGCTTCCAACGTTTTACAATGTTGTTTTTGATATTTCTTCGGTCCGTGTTGAACAGGTTTCTGTTCAGATGTTCTTTGGACCACATAGCTTGTTCTCAGCATCACTTGGCTGGTGCACATCGACGAATCAGTTTCGACTGTCATGTGACTAACACCATTGAAAATGAAGATCGCCGACCATACCCCACTTGTTGGCCGTTGTACAATATTTAAATCAATTTGGACTCATCTGTTTGGTCAAATAACCAATTTTACCGGTACATATTTTGAGGCGCTTAAAAACATTAAGGTGGATCCTCAATTTGCGAAGGAAACAAAAGTAATGACTTTTTCATGAAAATAACTACTCAGGTTTCCGCGAGGTTAATAACTCGTTCGAACTTATCTCATGATCCAAATAAATGCCTGTTGGACATTACTCACAAGAATGCATAGTAGTATTGATTTGCAAGCAGAGTACTATGCATATAATACGGAACGAGTACGGGCTTGGTCAATTTTCAAATTTTCCTGAATCAATTGGCATCAATTTTTGGTACCAGTTGCAAATTCATGTGTGCTTCAGTGGGTAAAAGTAACATTCTACTCCATTTGAAACACGTACAATGCTTACGCGGCTCAATTGGAATAAATTTCATTTAGTAACTAAAAATTATTTTTCATAATATCCCAATCTCTTGTTATTAACCCACTGTCGTGTTAAATTTTGTCGATCTTAAGGTACAGTCGATCCCGCACATGTTCTTTCATTTGCTGGGGCTATTGGCGCGTTACGAGATAACAAGTTTTAAACAGATCAGAAATGCCACATTAGATGTCCAGTGAGTAATCTGCTTCCTTTGTCCTTTCGCTTTCGGCGATAGATTTGCATGCAGGATTTCGTTTCCCACTAAACCGTTTTTTTGAAACTGCTCATTCAGTTTGTTTACGTCTTCAGTGATTTTAGAATTCCCACCGCTGTCAGATGCATAGTACTTTGTACACCTGGAGAAGTGGGGACAAATATCCACTGAGCTTGAAGAGATCTTGTGGGTGGGGTCACTCCAGTGCTGATGATCAACAAACCCCT